CAAAATGCATTACTTTTGACTCACCCTCATATATATATATATATATATAAGTTTGGTGCAAAAATAATGACATAATAATGTAGTTTTTGACGTATTTTTTAACATCAAAAAACAACATTATTACGTCATTATTTTGCACCAACCTTATATATATATATATATATATATATATATATATATATATATATATATATATAAATAATCTTATAAATATAAGTAATTATACTCGTCTGGAGAATCCTTAGGTGTATTGGCTTGTAAATGAACAAACCAATACCCAAGGAAAAATAAATAATAAAAAAAGAAACAAGTAAGAACATGTAATTCAGTCAAAAACAATCATCCAGAATCCAAGCTCAGAGTCCAAAGGAAAAACCTCCAACACAAGTAAAGCAAAAATAACTAAGCAAAGTGCTCAATACACTAAGTAGAACAAATCTAACTATGAACCTAAAGAGCCAGGCAAACCTACACAGATCCATGTAGGTGAAACCTAGGTAGGTTTGCCTGGCTCTTTAGGTTCAGAGTTATATATATATATATATATATATATATATATATATATATAGTGCTGTGCAAAAATAAGTGAACCCCTAAGATGATATATAAAATAATTGTCTCTTTTTCCAGATAATCAACAAATCTTAATTAAACTATATAATCATTAAGAAAAAACATTATTAAATAAATTACAACTACTTTCAAAGATTTTTATCGAGCGGGAATAAAAATATTAATTAAAAATTACAATGTGCAAAAGTAAGTGAACCCTTACATTTACAACTCTGTTTTTTTCTTTTACATGGTTGCCAGTAAAAATAATTTTTTTGTGCATATGTAAAAAACAAAATGACAAATGTTCATTTTTTTGGTAAGCTGTGTATACTGCAATCAAACAATATAACTCATTAAGTGTGCAGTTTTGCATATATATATATATGCAAAAATCAAAAGAACTTCCTGGAGCTTTAAAAAATGCATTGTTGAAACCTATGATTATGGAAAAGGCTACAAAAAGCTATCAAAACGATTTTGTGTGCATGTCTCCACTATCTGACAAATTATTTCTAAATGGAAGGCCTTTGGTATGATGGCATCACAATCAAGAAGTGGCTGTCTGCAAAAAATAACTGCAAGAACAAGTAAACATCTAGTCTGGCAAGCCCAGGCAAATCCTGCTATGACCTTTGCAGTTCTCCAATGTTGGAATCAATTTGTATACAACTACAGTGCAATGAAATCTGAACAATGCCAATCTTCATGGCAAAATGCTTAAAAAAAGCCACTGCTTATAAAATAGCATAAGCATACTTGTCTCACCTATGCCAAAGCTCATATTAATAAGCTAGAAACATTCTGGAAAAAGGCTTTACAAAAATGCAATTTTGTTCTTTCATCTGTCTGAAAGACGTTAACCTAGGAAACAGCCATTAACAGTTTTAATATAATAAAAAAAGAGACGCAGATTTTTTTTTATTGTAACCTGAAGACACCTACCTAATAAAGGCAGAACACATTGTCAATAAAAAGCTTTTCTATTTTTGTTCAGATCCTATATATTACTAACATATATGTATGTATGTGTGTGTATATAAAATTATTCTGAAATGAATATATCCTTTTTTCATGCTAATAGAAGTGAATATTTGTAGCATGGTTATAGATGTTGGATCTTCCTCTCAATAACCCATATTTTTTGCCTTGTTACTGTCTCAACAAAGTGTCATCTAATATTAAAATGAAGTAGAGTTGTGACATTGAATTAATCCATGTGAAAAAAATATTTCACTTACTGACATTTGTCAACACTTGCTGAACATTTACTGAGACCAAACAATGGATGTGAGCACTGTTTAATGGTAAGTAATGCATTTCAGCAGTGATGAGTGATGTGTGTGACAAAATACATTCCAAATGCCTGTGTACAAGCTCCTGTTTATTGTGACTATTTGGAAAAATATTTTTTTGTCATTGAAAACTCATTCTGTCTAATTATTGTGTATCTGCTGTAGTTTCTGTGTAAATGAATAGTAGGCATTACTTATACACACAAACACACATACATAAATAACTATATTGTTAAAATAGTGAAGAGTGCTCAATATTGGAGATATAATATTTACAGATATAGACAGTGTAGACATAAGAATCAATACTACATAGTGAATATCAGTTTCATGTCACAAATGATCTCCAGACTACTATATTTCACAATTCCTTTGTGGGCTCTATTTTTAGTCCTGTGATTAAGGGAAGTTAATGGCTGCACTGAAAACATACTACAAATTATAAAAAACACAACAGAAAAATCAATGGTATACTATAAACATCCACAACATCCACTTGTAATTAGTATGAATTCTCACTAAATGGCAACTGCTTACAAAATAATGTAGTATATGAAGCTTCAGTAAAATTCAAAGGGAAACCAGAAAAGAAAATATATAAGGATAAAAGAAGGTCCCTTCAAACAGAGAAGCTACTTACACAAAACATTATTTAATAACAAAAATATATGCAAACAGTACAATCTTCTCAAAAGCACAAATCCAAACAATCCAAAAATAACATAGAAAATAAGAAAACTGTAGCAGCCTGCAAAAACACCTCAAAATGATGTAACCTTTTCCTAGATGAGAGATTAGGCAATAATCACCTCTGCAAAACAAAAAGTGCAGAGCTCATTTTCAACTGCAAATATGAAAACAAATTCTGACTACACTACCTAAACCACATCCTAACGAAAAAGACTAAATAAAATCCCATTAGGTAAATAAAATTTATTTAAAATATGATAATTTAAACCTGTTATTCTCAACATGGTCCAAGTGGATCACTAGTGGTCTACATACAATTCGTAGCCATAAAAAAATTGTAGCCATTTCACAAAAATGTATCTAAATTATTCATACTTTGAAGAATTAAAAAATATGTTTTAATTACACACATGTCCATTATATTTGAAAATTTCAAAATTACGTAGGTATCATTATTGAACAGCCTAAAATTAAAAGTAGGAGTGGCCATTTCAAATTTTTGAAGAAAACAGTGGTTCATGAGCTTTTTCAGCCAATAGACCACTGTTTTCTTCAGAAAAGAAGCACTGATTTAGACAATGCATAGTGACTATCAGTTTCACACATCAAGTGATCTTCAAACCATTTGTCACTACTTCTTTATCAGCCTCTATATATTGGCCCCTAGGGAATTAAGTGGAGGAAGATGGAAACTCGCTCTTTTATTTAAGATTAATAATTTAGGTTATTTATATTCATAACCATTAGTTTGTTTATTGCATTCTTTATTATTTTAAATTAATTAGTTTATTCATTTATATTTGTTTTGTACAGTTTTTCTTTGTATTTAAATAAAACAAAGTTACCTAATTACAAATACCCTAATAGCTGGAAGCTACATTATTATTGAAGAAAAAAGTAGAATAAAATAAAAATTTTGCCTGCTGTTAGTTCTCCATGACCAAAATGGTTAAATGCTGTCTTTTCTCAAACAGGCTCCCAAGGATATATCATGTAAATTCAGGTCTCACTGGATACTATCTTTATTTCTGAGCTATACAGCTTAAAGTGTCATAGAGTGCAAAATAATCTTAGTATAGCAGTAAAATAATAAAATGAAATATATAAACTAGTCAAAAAAGATAATGAAGATACCATGGACCAAACATGTGAGCAACAACAAAGTTTTAGACAAAATGGAAACAAAAAGGACATTTATACTTAATATCAGAGAGAGAGAGAGTTGAAATTTCTAGGGTACATAATAAGGAAAGAGGGCTTGGAAAATTTGATACCCACAAGACATACTGAAGGCAAGAGGGACAGCAAAAACAGTACCTAACAAGCTTGTGCAAACAGATGACAGAACAAGGTTAAGGAGAGATAACAAAAAGACAAAATTTACTAAGAGTTACACAGAACAGGAAATTGTGGAGAGCCATGATCACCAATATCCTGAAGGGACACAAAACATAGAAGAATTGTTAGAGTGAATTAAATTTTTCTTGTATATGTTACACACATCCTACCCATGTTAATAATAGTTACACAGACAGGTAATCTCATTTCTCTTCTATACAATAAATGCCAATGTCAGTGTGTCACACTTTTTCAATTAAAGGGACACAAATCTCATTACTTCATCATCTTCTATATAATAAATGCCAATGTCAGTGTATCACACTTTTTCAATTAAAGGGATACAACTTTCATTAGCTCATCTTCTATAAAATAAATGCCAATGTCACTGTGTCACACTTTTTCAATTAAAGGGCCATAACTCTCTAACCTTCAATAGCTAATGTTACAGAAATTTTAGATTCCCAAGTTTTCATTACTGTGATTGTTTCAGTGATTTTTTGCGACAAATTTTTTTGTATGATAACAATTTTTATAGCTTGGAAATAAATTTGGGAATAATTGAAATTAAATCTGAAATCCAGAAAAAGTCACCCATGAAATAAAAACAATTGTTTGTAAGAAAAGTAAGGACCTATGTACATCAAATTGTCTTTAAATGGTGGTAGAAGAATTATCACTGAACTTTTAAAAAGCAATCTTTAATATTAATACAATGTTTAAATGCAGCAATCAATTTTGAGTTCTTCTGTAGTTTATAGTTGCCAATTTCATCTACACCTTCCTACCTATTGTGATGAAGGCTCAATCAAAAGCCCCCCCACACACACACACACAGGAGCTAGCTTAAATGCTGCCCGATAGGTCGGTTTTCAAGCTAGTACTTTTAATAATCAGTCGAAAATGGCTAACTAGTCCAAAGGTTAATAACTTAATGATATTTATTGTACGAATATGTACAAATGTGGCACGAGGCCAAAAAATAATCCGTGGAAATATATTCAGTAGAAGATATGTTTACGTATGACACCGTTAATTGTCATCTTCCATTATTGAATCACCAAGCCGTTTCTATGACAACAAACTCACGATAGTCATTGATAAAATAATAATAAAGCGACGAAAATGGAAGGAAAAAGATCGAATCCCACCCCGCCAAAAAAGTAAGTATTTTCAGCCCTCGGATCATTTATTGCTCAATATCAATTGTATATCAACGTGTTTTTTAATAACCATCAATAAATAAAAATATTTAGAACAAAAGACATGAAAAAAATATCTCACGTTGAAAATCACGTTTTTTTATCGTCTGCTTTCTTTGATTCGAAAAACATATTTTTTAATTAGTTAAAGTAAAAATATTTTCATAAATTAGTCAATCCTCATTTATATCTGTTTTATGTAGAAAGATGAGATTGTTTATATTAAAACTTTATAATAGAATGTTTTTAATAAAAATATGGATCTCGTTATCCTTTTCTTCGTCGTCGTCAAATATGTCTTCTACACGCGAAAACGTGTTTTCAGTCTTAAACTAAACAACTAAAAAATTACTTGATTTTTAATTCTGTTAAGTTTATATGTTACAAAATACGTAATTTTTGACAGGACAGGATTGATTTAAAATTTAATAACAGACTTGATCGACACTTACATCACAAAGTTTAAGTAATCAATCAATAACAAACAATATTTTTTTATCAAAGTAACTTAGTAAGTTACTTTTTAAAGTGTTCAAGAATTAAAAAAGTAATAAATAAATTTATTTCTTATTTTCATGTCATTCTCGCATCACCATATATAATTTTATTTTTATTGTTTAATGCTTAAACTAGGTTAACTTAATTTTTATTTTAAATCTGTAAGTTATGGAATATGCATAATTCATAATGTTATCAAGAAGAAGACATTTAAAAATAATGTTCGGTCCTGTTGTTACGATGTCGTTTTAAAATTCAATCCTAATATACCAATTTAAAAATAATAATAAATAAATATACACAGCCTTTTTGTTTTTTCTTGATCAATTTATTTATCTTGTTTTCATTTTAAGACTGTATTGGCCACAAAAATCTACCATTTTAAAGAAAAGGTGATTAAAACTGGTGTATTGAATGACGGTGGTTGTGTTGTCAATACTAAGAATGGAAATTGTACATTATCATGCAAACACACATAAAATTTATTATAAATTAAATACATATTCCATACTATTTAAAAAGGGAATTATAGACCACACCAATTAAAAAATTATGAAAAAGTAGTTTTACAAATAAAATTAAATTAGGCTGGACATTTTAATAAATTAAAATAGGGTTGCCAACTTTTAAGTTAAAAAGCTAAAAAAGGACATCTGAATTTTTATACACAATGTATGTGTAAAAATTTAGATCTGTGTGTAAAAAGACAATAAAATTGTCTCTATTTTATTTTTAGAGACAAAAAAAACAAAAAAACAATGAAAAAAGTAAAACTTTTCTTTACTAACGATTTTACACAAAAGCGGAGGAAAACTATAAATACAAGTTACAAAAAATAAAATCTCCACATTTACTTTGATAAAGTTCCTCAGGGGTCGAAACGCGATGGTAAAGAATAAAGCTAAGTTTCCTTTTTTTGCAGTTTACATGTAGATATAGTACGCCGATAAAAGAAATTCGAGAGATATAAAAAAAAAACCCAAAAAACAACAAAAATAACGATATTGATAATAAGACTAATCATATATTAGTAGGCTTTTTTTGACCAAATATAGATGCATGATCAGAAAAGATGTTAAAAATGTGTCCTTTCTCAACAAGAAAGTTGAACTTTTGTCGGTGGGAGTCCCCTGCCTGTATTATTTTACTGATGAGACCTAGTAGTTTTGGGCTAGTTGTTTACTACAATTAGAGTTGTAGAGGATTTGTAGAAGGCTTTTTGTGGAAACTGTATAATATATATATTTATATAAGATTAATATAAATATGAAATTTGTCATTTGGCTGACTGATGAAGTGAGTGACTTGTAAGCAAGTCAAGGTAGAGCTGTTCTGTTGAGTGGATGTCGCTGGGGTCAACCGTGAAGGCAATGCTTTGTAAGCGAGTTGAGGTATGTCGATATACACCGAGGTGACGGCAGGTGTTGGTATCAATGGAGGCCTGTAGCTGAGAGGAATCGAGTTAGAGATGTTGAGTTGAAAACTGAATAGCTGAGGTTGTATGTTAAGCCAGGAAGTGGTAACTGTCGTTGAAATGTGCAGTCATGTTGAGTGGTGGCAATGAAGGTGGTTACTGTGTTAGTAATAGTACTTTGCGTGGTGTCTGGTCTGCTACTTTGTTGTCATGGTGACGGGGTCATGGCAGTGGTAGCAGCTGCAGCAGCGCCCTGTGTGATGATCAGTAGCTGTGCTTTGCTGCAACTGTTCCTTGTTTGTCCTCAGAGCCTGCTTTTAAGCATTTCTGGTAGTCCCAAAGGGCATCTCTTTGGGAATGTTCGCAACTGGCCATCGCTGGAATTCACTTTGTAGACCAGATGTGGTGTGTGGAGCCCAATGTGTAGAAAACAACTTTTGTTACTTCACCTTCAACTCTCATGGTGTTCACATCCAGTCACCAGGTAGAATGAATCAGAATGAGATCTAAATGCAAAGGAGTATCACAGCTCCTCCAGATCTCAGTCACATTAATAGGCAGCGAGTGACGGTGAGTTTAGCAAAATTGGGAATGAGATGATTGTTGGTAAAGAGAGTATGGTTTGCTGGTTCTTTTTGAGTTTGGTAATCCTTTGCTGCTGATGTGAGTTATATCCATTTTCCTTGCTGCACACCTCTGACACCAGTTGTTATATTAAGTGTATGGTAGTGATAGAAAGGAATAATTAGGATTAGAGTGAAACAACATTTATTGTTGGTAGGTAGTACAGTAATGTTGTGAGTTGAACCATTTCTTATGCCAGCATGGCCAAGGTCCCAAGATATGGTTAGTGCACATTTGGTTGATGGACATCACAGTTGTAGGTCGTCTTGTCATTGGTAGATCTATTGTATGGAACGGATGTCACTGTGGTCGATTGTGAAGGCAGTGCCTTACAAGCAAGTAAAGGGGTGAGCTGTTCTGTGGAATAGAGGTTACTGTGTCAACTGCAAAGGAGATGCCTTGTAAGCGAGTCGAGGTAGAGATTGTGCGTGGAATGGATGTTGCTACATTGACTGCAAAGGAAATGCCTCATAATAGAGTTGAGTTAGGTCAAGTTAGGCCAAGGTGACAGCGGGTTTATTGAGGCCAATTCTGTGGAAAGAAGGTTGCTGCATCAACTGCAAAGACAGTGTCTTGTACGCGAGTTGAGGTTGAGCTGTTCTCTGGAATGGAGGTAGCTGCATCAACTGCGAAGGGAGTGCCTCATAAGTGAGTCGAGGTAGGGCTGTTCTGTGGAACAGAGGTAGCTGCATCAAATGCAAAAATATCATGTTCATCCTCAGAGCCTGCTTTTAAGCATTTCTGGTAGTCTCAAAGGGAATCTCTTTAACTGGGGGAAATGCTTGTGATTGGCCACCACTGGAGATCACTTTGTAGACTGGATGTCATGTGCAGAGCCCAATGCGTGGAAAACGACTTTTGTTATTTTGTCTTCTGTCCTCACAGAATTCACACCCAGCCAGCATGTAGAATGAATCAGAATGAGATCTAAATGCGATGGAGTATAACAAAACCCTGGAGTTGGGGTGCAGAATATAACATCAATCAGCTCAAAAATTTTATATTAATCCTATTAATGCTCTATCTGATATCAAAAATATTATTGCAAACACTGCTTGCCTTAAATGTCCTTTTCTTTCAGACTTCCACTGTCTGACATTTCTGGCTTTACACTATCTTTGTTATGGCTATTTTATATATATATATATATATATATATATATATATATATATAATGATATTATTTGGTAATCCATATGGATAATTCCAAAGAAGATATAGATCCAGAGAGAGCTCAATGCAAGAACAGAGCAAATGATAATTATGAAAGTGGAAGTGGAGACTTTAGGAACCCATAGTAATATTTTATTTCACAAAACCAATACTTGCTGAAAATGATTTTGGCCTGATGAGACAAAACTGATGTATCAGTTTTGTGAAATAAAATATTACCATGGGTTTCTAAGGTCTCTGCTTTCCTAATTATATATATATATATATATATATATATACTATAGTAATTTAATTCCTGTAGATACACAATTTTACCTTAGTAAATGATTTCTTAATTTTTGGAATTATACTTATTCTGGCTTTTAACAGGCTTGAGCAATTTTGAATCATGTTCTATTTTCTGAAAATTCCATACAATTATCTTTCAAGTGGGCAAAAAGTTCAGTCTTCAATAGATGCAACTTCTTTCATTGATGACATTAAAAATCTGCTCACAATAACCTGTTGCATTAGAAATTGAAACCACAAATTATTTTGAAAATATCCACACATTTTTAATCATCACTTTTTAGAATCAAGTGCTATTTTCTGCTAGCTGCCTCACAACTTGTACAGTTGTTGTAAAACTATACTAAAATTTTTAATTTGTATCATCATTCATGATTACAAATTCTAATGATAATGGTTTTGGAGGGGAAGCCCTTTTCAAATAAAAGACATTTGATGTCCTTTCCAAATTCAATAAAGGATGAGGACAAGGACAGAAAGAACTAAATAATGCACTGCCCTTTCCAACAAAAGATGGTTGGCAACCCTATTTCAATATGACCCTACACAATATCATATTTACAAGCCAATCAAGTGTTTTGTGATCACTTGATGAAATGTAATTTTAATTGATAGAACTATTGTGAAATGTATTCAAATGACTTTTTAGTGATGACTAAATTTTTGTTACATTTTGCACATCGTCATTTCAAGAAAATGGCTCAAAATTTGAAACAAGAAAGTAAGTCTTAATGTTATATTTGAAAATTTGGTTTAATTTTCTAATATTATTGAAATATATTTGAAGGCTGTAATATGTTCAACAACTGATTATGAGTAGCATGATGATCATTCTGCTGTTGTCATAAATCATTGATAGTGAATTTGATCTTCACAGGATGGTCTAGATCAGTGTTTCTCAACCTTTTTTTCTTCAGGGTGCACTTGTAGAATAACTAAAACTGTTGGGTATACTTAAGTTTTAA